AGCCATTATAGGCTACAAATCTTAAGTTGTGTGAAAGCATTTCGACATGGTAATTGGAATCTCTTCAGTCTTAGCTTTACCGGTATATTCGAGATCTAAAAACGGCAGTTCAGTCAAAAGTCTTTCCACTAGACTTAGGAATGAAAATTCGTCCAATGAAAAGCAGTAGCCGGTTAACTATCAATTTTCAACAATGTTAAGCAGCCCAAAATATATTTAATTAGGAGTAAGTAAAATTCAAGTTATGTCAACCTGGAGTCATTTTAAAAGGTGTACAGACATTTCCATTTTCTGAACCATAAAACTCTAACAACACAGAATCTCTTAGTGTGCTTTTATTTAACTAAAACACACACCTGTATGACATAAAACGATCAAAGAATAATTTCATTTTAATAGTCTGGTACTGTATCTCAATTATGGTTGATCTTAAAGGTAGATTTAAACAGAAACTAACTAATATACAGACTAGTATTTACTGTGAGACCAAGTAGGTAAATGAATGATCGATTTCGCTTGATGAACAATGGTCGTAACTTTAAAATATCAGATGATTATGTATAAAAAAAATAGTTTTCAACCTATTGATCATCATGCATTGATAATATGATGTTTTCATTATTATAAGCCTTATTTTAAGTACACATGCGTCAATTAATTATTGCTAAATCTAATTACAAAACAGTTAGCTAGTAGTAAACCGATATGTGATCAATCCATTATTTTTGAATCATAAGAAACAGGCCCTGTAAATGGTTTTAGTTACATGAAAAATTTTCAGTTTAAAAGATAAATTTATATACCTTTAGATCTGAAAAGATCTGTTGGTGAAATACAACCTACCAAGAAGCTAGAAGCTCAATCAATCTTTCTACAATGACAGCGAGAACTGTCTCAATGAAAATGTACGAATTAAACCCCAAGTATAACTGTGAAACATTATTTTATGGGAGCTATATCTATAGACTTACTGATAATTTCTACAACAGACACTGAAATCTCACAAATAGAAAATAAGTCAGGTCTCGAACAAGGGAGCCAAATAATGAGATTTAGAAACAACAGATCAAGGTAAATCAGTAAGATTCTTCAGTAAATTTGATGTCCAAAATATGCTTTTAACCGCAGTGAGAACAAATAATAATAACTCAATATAAACATTTATATACGCTAGCAACTGTTGGATAGCAGTGAAGATACATTAAACCCGTGCAACATAGATATTGCACCACAGCCTAAACTCTTAGTCCATATGTAGACCACAATAGAGCACCAAAACTCTACATTCTGTGAAAAAAAATCACAGAATCAGAACTCAACAACTGACACTCCAACTCTAAGCACATCATCGCATAGTGAGGTTTTGTAGCCATGTGCGTACGAAATAATAAGAGCCATGTATTAGTGCTAATACACGTTTATATCTAACGTTACTAAAAGATATCGGTAAACCTATTGTATGAGAAAACCATTTTTAGCAGAGAACATTGTCTTGAAAATGGACAGTTACGACAGAAACTAACTGATACACACTGTTTACATGACCATGTAAAACACACATCCGTGTTTAAAGAAATTATTTAGCTTTAAGTTATTTGCAGAGCAAGAAGCAAACAAAGCAGGATTCAAGATTGTACAATCACAGCGCTAATTCGACGGCATGATCATGATCAGTCAGTCAACTACAAGGCAGAACTTCGCACGTATATACATCAGTCCAGGTTGCCATATCATATCATGCTATAGCACAGAGACGCGAATGTCAGTTCAAATCCCATTGTAGTAGAGGTAGTAGAAGTATTAGCAGCGATAGGAGAGATTAGGGTTTGAAGATGTTATTCAAGGAGTACAATTCAGTGAAACAAATTTGAGAAGACAAAGATGAAGGTTATGGGGAATTTAGCCTATAATTTTGGAAAACACGAAGAGTGGATGCACCTGAGCCATCGCAAACGGTTTCGAACCATGTCATTCAGGGTCTCTAACCATCGGTTACTATTATCTCGCGGACCCCAACCAGGTAGTTTACATATAGTAACATGGCTCAGTCCACTTGTCAGTGACTTCATAGATTTGTGCCGTGCTTTGGTTTGGCCGCCCTCAGATTTCTTCCAACCTTCTCCTGCACATCAAAACACAGCTCGTCGAGGCAGTCGGAGGTTGGGCATTCGGAACACATGCACCAACCACCTCAACTGATGAAGATTCAGTACTTCATCTTTTACTTTGCTATCCTTACCTAGTACCTGTTTCTTAACAACTGCATTGCTTACTCGATTGTCCCAGGATATACGAGCAATGCTTCGAAGACACTTATGATTGAATACTAATGGCCTACGAATATTCTCTACTGTAACTGGCCATGTTTCACAGCGATAAAGTAGGATGGAACGAACTGTTGCTCAGCAAACCCGTCATTTGGTTGGTAGGCGGATATCTAGCCTACACCATACGGGCCGCAATTCGGCAAAAGCCAATTGGACCTTCTGTATCCGTGCCGAGATTTCGTCACACACCAGGCCATCAGCAGTGATGAGACTCCTGAGATAGGTTAAGCAGTCAACATGCTCAACTGTTTGACTCCCTATTACTAGTTCAGGTGCCGACACAAGCCAATCCTGAAGCAACATTTTTCATTTCGAGGAGGATAACCGCAATCCGAACATGTTTGCATTGTTGCTTAGGGTTTTCAGAAAACTGCATTTTGTCAGCGTCTTCACCAAATAGAACTATGTTATTGGCATACTCTAAGAGAATAAGCGAGTCTCCTGGTAGATAGTCAATTCATGAAATGTCAGACGAAGATAGTGTTAAATCTAAAAGCATGTCGATAACAAAGTTTGATAAGATTGGAGAAAGTAGACAACCCTAACGCACACCTTTTGAAGCAACCGATTCCTACAACGGATTGCCATAAGCTCTCACTCGACAAGTAGTGTTCGAGTAGAGAGCTTGTATGAAGTATTTGATTGTGACCAATTTGGGCACGTGCGCTGGTACAGACATGATGTCGGATGTCTTTTCATGGCTGCGCACACCGTGGAAGGGTGTTTGATGAGGAACCTGAGAAGGAAAGTAGATACGTGTTGGTCCTAGAGACCTGGAAGCGTGAACGCAGAGCCCAAAGGACAACTGAGGCCGGCCACGCATAGCCTTTTTATGAGAATCTTTTAAAGTGTTAGCTCCGTTCTTGTTTAAAAAGCCTTACCACCGGAGACGAAAATCCGTGAGGTAAAGTTGGGTGTGGCATATTTAGGGTCGACCTTTTCTAACTCCTTCGTTCCTAGTGAGAATGCAGCATCGCTGCAGATGCTGTTTGTCCGAGGGAAACATCCTACTGCTGTCTCACCCCTCTACATTCAGCAGTACGGCTTCGTCCTGAGATCTTGAGTAGCTGCTTTTAGTCTCATTGTTCTGCAATCGACCTGCCAGGCAAGGTAGAACCTTCAGGAACATACGTTCCAGCTAATATAGCTCAACTGGGTCATCACGACAGGTAAGCCCGACCACCACGTCAAGTAGCTGTTTTGTTGCTAATAGTTGAAGGTTTTAAATATTTTCTGCCATACACTAACATGAACAATTGAACACCATCCTTGGGAATGCCTCATGTTTGTGACTTATAATTAGGTGTATATATCTATGCATAGTGAGTTTCATTGCCGTTAGTATTAAGAGTGAAAAAAAGATAAACGAACTGAATTTATTTATTATTTCATAATCATAACCAGTTTCGGGTATGCACAGGATTCAACTGAATAAAACGTGATTTAATGTTTCATAAAACGTAATTGTATTGTTTATAAATGAAAATTTATATACACTAAATAAAAACATAATAAATTTAGCAATATCTTTTAACTATGGTAGATAAAACTTCAAAGCAAACAAATATATAGGTGCAAAATATATCAAATTATAAAAAACAGGCACCAAATTTAACTCAAGAAATGAGATAATACTTATCTGTTTATATACACAAATATTGTAAAATGTACATGCATGTATTAAATGCGATGCTTCAGTTTGTGGAAGGAAAAGAAAAGGTGAATAAGGCACAGAATGACGGCTCATGTGTGTGGATAAGCAAAATGAGACAGAAACAGGAAGACCGACTGGCAAGAAGATTAGGATAGTAAACTCTTTAGAAGGACATAATAATAATAATAATAAAAATAATAATAATAATAATAATAATAATAATAATAATGAGTAAGGTTTAAATACAATAAGCAAATAAAACTGTTCACACAAATAATACAACGTGACACTCGACCCAATAAGATAGTAATGTTTATAAATTAAAATGGGTGCGTGGACACATGTGTGAAAAACACGTTAAACAGAGCAGAAAAAATAAAATTGTTAGAAAAATAAACAAAGGAAGAAACAAATTTTACACGTATTCCATCAGCAGTCAAACTGAATAAGAATGTCAAATGCAAATGAGTAAAATCCCATGAATAAGGTTATCACAATGGTTCAGCAACGCACGACTCTAATTAGTTAAGATTGAAAAGCACTCATGTAACCTACTACAAAATATGATATATATATATATATATATATATAGCAAGTAACTTAATGTCCTAATAAATCTTTAATAAAATTAGGGAAATGATGGAACTTGTGCTAACTGAACTGTTGCTGTTAAATAAAGGGACGCTGTTTTAGATAACAATCACATAACGTAAATGAAAGCAAAAAATAACAAGTGCTCTTTGAAAAATAGGTACACTATATGAAGTCATAATATGAACAAAAAAGCTTTGCTTTACTTACACTGAACAAAACGATGGATGATGACAATGATAAAAACACAACTAAAACCAGTAAGAAGAATGAAGAGATTTTTTAAATCTGGATGAACTTTGTAAATATCTGGAGATTAGGAAGATATCTCACTTTTATGTTGGTTTTATGATTAAATAAATAAAGTTTCCCTGGTTCGCCAACATTTACTCGTATTACAGCACCAGTTGTATATTTTTTGTTTAGCTTTACCTTCTTTTTATCCAGTGATACATGAGTAACAAACCTGATGAGTAAAATTGAATTGTTGAACAATATTACTAAACTCATAACTGTACAAAAAATTAGTCAAGGAAAATTAACATTCAGAGTTTTGATAGGATTATGTATACTTGTATATACATATATTATGAAATTCAATGATACAATGAATTCTATTTAAAATGTGATTATTTTCAAGGTGTATTTAAATTTTAAGCAGCAGATTACATGTTATGTCTAATAAGACTTCAAGAATCATTTAGTATCATTAGCCCTAACCTAATAGACAGGGTTCATTACACATAGTATAAGCTTGAGTGTTACTCCACTTTTAGTGCATTCGTAAAAATACAACTGTGACCAGTGTTTATTTATGTTAAGTAACATAATAAAAAATTGATATTCATCGTTGCAAGTTGTACAGCAGATGACTAACGGATACTGACATTGTTCAGATTATTTGTGAATGGACGTACTCACTGACAAAAGCTAATCGTAGCAATTTAAACAGTACTATTGTCTCATTATATTAACATTTATATGATAGGCATAGCAATAGATAATATTTACTGGACTTCACAGACGAAGTGATTTTCAACAGTTTCTATACACCATCAAAGTTGGTGAAAACACCATATTAAAATACCTAATGTTTTAATAATTTAAATGTTTACACCAAATATTTTTTAAAAACAAAGGACATCTACGCCAATAACTTCATCTCCAGATGGCACAATAACAAATTGATGGAGGTCGTGTTATAATAGACAATATATTAAGACATACATAAATTAAGATTTAAGACGCTCACCTAAGCAAAACCATGACATATTAGCGACTGCAACCAACGGATCTAATGCAATAATTGCTCTGCAAATATTACGAAATGCACTCTTAAACGCAAAGAATGCTAGACGAGTGTGACGGCTGAATTCGTCTTTTGATGGACTGTCCCTTGAGGGACACTCAGTTGTAGATGAATGAGTGGCTCCAGGACCTTGTTTATAAGATTGAGATTGATCATGGACTTTTTGCGCATCATATGGAAAAGTCAATGAACTTGAAGTAGTAGAAATATAATTAGTCCTTGATCGCTCATGAAGTATTTTTGATAATAACCATAATTTATAATCATATGGAAGGAATGGCAGTAGAATTCCAATTAGACAAACAATCAAACTTAAAACGAATAAGGAATAATAAAGCAGATTAGGAAACAATTTGATGCTTGTTCTGTCGTTTTCGGATTTACTGTCACTATCACCACGACAAATTGTTAACACACCTGCAAGGAAGATAGATATAATGCTGAATCAAGTTAAACAGAGTTAATCATAAGATACGAACAAGGTTAATTTATATAGGGGATTTCGACAGAGGTAATATAAAAAGGGAGTTGATAACAGAACACAAAGTATGACAAAATTAACTGTTTTCTATGCGGCATAAACAAATAGAAATAATCGACAAAGTAATGTGTCAGCAATATTTTTACGATGGCTAATAGATTTATTTTTCTAACCGAAAGAGTAGAAATAAGGAGTGATTAAACTTTCTGAAAACGTCGAGTTGCCAGATTTCATATATTATGTGAATGAATGAAACTGAAGGTAAAGATATGATAAAAATTCAAACAAGAATTCCTAACATTTATATGCTTCGTGAATAGGCACCAGCACGGATATTTTATCCATTAACATATAAAATACTAACTAAAGTAATTAAACACGATTTGTTTTTAAAATTTACTGAAGACCAAAATAAAATAAATGAGGATGAAACGTACTGTCTGTTTAGTAATTTACGAAGTGGGATGGAATTCACTAATGCTAGTGATACGATGCCCAAGAATTATACTGAACAGTCAGGCCCAAACTGATTGGAGAGCGAGTTATCTAGAAGCTAACTCTATGCCATTGCTTATGGCATTATCACATTTTGTATATAAGCTTATGCCCCGAAATGTCTTAGTATGTCTAAGAATGGGGAGAGTCCGCTCTATTCCAAGATACTGGCTTCAATAATACTCTGACATTTAACTAGGGTTCATGAAGAGCAAACTCGAGAAAACCAGGCTGGTTTTCGACCTGAACGTGACTGATAGACCAGACATTCACACTTCATCAGGTCCTAGAACAAAGACACACGTTCAGACGTCCTACAATAGTAATATTTTTTGGACCTTAAGGCAGAATTTGATACTGTTGATCATGAAATTTTGCGGCCGTGTTTATCACTCAAAGGAGTACCAGAGAAGTACAGTAACCATGTACAAGCTCTCAGATAGTCAGTTACAACGGAGAACTTCGTACGTACGTACGTACATTAGTTCAGCTTTCCATAGCCCACCAGCACAGGAACGCAACTGTCAGTTCTCCCATAGTGGTGGAGATAGTAGACAGACAGATACAACGCAGAACTTCGTACGTAAGTACATCAGTTCAGGTTGCCATGCCCCATCAGCACAGAGACGCGACTGACAGTTCAAATCCAAGAGTGATGGTGGAGATAGTAGGATAATTAGCGGCAATAGAGAATATTAGGGATCGGAGATATTATCCAAGAAGTATATTCAGTGAGATAAAATTAGAAAGAGAAAGATAGAGGTGATAAGGAATTCAGAAGACTAGAATTTTAGAGAACACAAAGAGTCGATGCACCTGAGCCACTGCTAAAGATTTTGAGTCACGTCCTTCAACGTCTCTAACCATCGGTTACTATTATCTCGCGAACCCCAGCCACGTAACCTACATCTACCAACATGACTCAGTCCAATTGTTAGTGACTTCATGGATTTCCGCTGTTTTAGTTTGGCCACCCCTATATTTCCTCCGACCTATCATAAAACTTTGCTCGTCGAGGCAGTCGGTGTTTCGGACTTTCGTGACACATGTACCGACCACCTCACCTGAAGTTTCAATACTTCATCTATTGATCTTCCATTTCTACCTAGTACTCGATTCCTAACTATAGTATTGCTTACTCGGTTGTCCCATGATATACGAGCAATGCTATGAAGACATCTAAAATCGAACACTTTTAACCTATGAATATCCTCAACTCTTACCGGATATTCGTAGGTTATTAGTGATGACCCAACCGGACTATATTGACTGTAACGTATGTTCCTGAAGTTTCTACCTTGCCAGGCAGGTCGAGTACAGAACGATGAGACTAAAAGCAGCTACTCAAGATCTCAGGACGAAGCCGTACTGCTGAATGTAGAGGGGTGAGACAGCAGTAGGATGTTTCCCTCGGACAAACAGCATCTGCAGCGATGCTGCATTCTCACTAGGAACGAAGGAGTTAGAAAAGGTCGACCCTAAATATGCCACACCCAACTTTACCTCACGGATTTTCGTCTCCGGTGGTAAGGCTTTTTAAACAAGAACGGAGCTAACACTTTAAAAGATTCTCATAAAAAGGCTATGCGTGGCCGGCCTCAGTTGTCCTTTGGGCTCTGCGTTCACGCTTCCAGGTCTCTAGGACCAACACGTATCTACTTTCCTTCTCAGGTTCCTCATCAAACACCCTTCCACGGTGTGCGCAGCCATGAAAAGACATCCGACATCATGTCTGTACCAGCGCACGTGCCCAAATTGGTCACAATCAAATACTTCATACAAGCTCTCTACTCGAACACTACTTGTCGAGTGAGAGCTTATGGCAATCCGTTGTAGGAATCGGTTGCTTCAAAAGGTGTGCGTTAGGGTTGTCTACTTTCTCCAATCTTATCAAACTTTGTTATCGACATGCTTTTAGATTTAACACTATCTTCGTCTGACATTTCATGAATTGACTATCTACCAGGAGACTCGCTTATTCTCTTAGAGTATGCCAATAACATAGTTCTATTTGGTGAAGACGCTGACAAAATGCAGTTTTCTGAAAACCCTAAGCAACAATGCAAACATGTTCGGATTGCGGTTATCCTCCTCGAAATGAAAAATGTTGCTTCAGGATTGGCTTGTGTCGGCACCTGAACTAGTAATAGGGAGTCAAACAGTTGAGCATGTTGACTGCTTAACCTATCTCAGGAGTCTCATCACTGCTGATGGCCTGGTGTGTGACGAAATCTCGGCACGGATACAGAAGGTCCAATTGGCTTTTGCCGAATTGCGGCCCGTATGGTGTAGGCTAGATATCCGCCTACCAACCAAATGACGGGTTTGCTGAGCAACAGTTCGTTCCATCCTACTTTATCGCTGTGAAACATGGCCAGTTACAGTAGAGAATATTCGTAGGCCATTAGTATTCAATCATAAGTGTCTTCGAAGCATTGCTCGTATATCCTGGGACAATCGAGTAAGCAATGCAGTTGTTAAGAAACAGGTACTAGGTAAGGATAGCGAAAACGAAAAGCGAGTGTCGAGCGTTCTGACGGGATCGGTAAGTTCGGAATATCTGCCTACGGGGATTGGAAAACTCTGATTTCAAACCAATGGTGCTAATGGGTTCCAATATCCCGGTAAAGCGTGTGGCATATGAACCTATTCTTGGTTAGTAGCCACCATAGTACTGCATCGCCTAACGTTGTTCAACTGGATTAGACCTTTGGACGAAAGGCTCAGAGACTGTCTACTAAGAAAACCATCTGTTTTGGTCCAGGTGCCCAGGCAGTATCCCAGTTCGCCTACAAATCCAATAATTTATGCGGCGCACGAGTAGTTAGGTTCCCGTTTACACTAACGTTTACATATTTAAATAAAATAAATGTGTGTCAATCTACTATACATAAGTCTTGTTCTCCCGAATGGATGTCTAGTCTTCGATTTTAAATTATTCGGGATATTGCGACAATAAAAAGATTTCGTGGACAGCTATCATTCATTGCGTAGGTGAGGTATCCGTCTGTTAACCAGAGGACGAGTTTGCTGAGTGACAGTTCGCCCTGTCCTACTATACCGGTGTGAAACATGGCCACTAAGAATAGAGATTAGTTGGTTACTATTATTAGTGGTAGGATATATATTCAGACGGCAGGATGCTTATTTCTGTGATCCCATTCAATAGTGTTCACTAGTTATCTTAACTAGTTAATTGATACAAAATTAGGAAATCGGAAATTGAGCAAAGCCTAAATTCTATTCAATTCATAAATCCCAAACACAGAAGTTGATCAACGAACAAAGGTAATTTGTTTATAATTTCATGTACTTACTTGAATTCGATCTATTTTTTTGTGTTTTAACTGTAGGAAACATATTAGAAAGACCCAGACATTTTGTACGATCGAGTGATAAATATGTATTAGAATTAACAGGGCGCTTTTCTGACCCAATCAGGCTTCCAAAAGCTCGTGATAAAGATGCCGTTCTTAAACTTGGAGCAGACGGACCGACATCATGATAACGACTGGGCCAAGTGCTGCAAGAATCTGAATCTTGAATAGCGACATTATGAGGAGGGTTAGATGAGATGGTTGAACATATATAGTGCTCGCCTGGAAACAAAAGGTAAAAATGTAAGTTGTAACAAATGCAAACGATAAAAATAATCATGAGCTTTACCCAATGAAATTTTTTAAATTTTCTTTTGAAATCACATCAATCCACAAAAACGGATAATGGTTTCAGATATTCGAAAAGAAATTGATATATATGCCTAAACATACATTCAATCCATTTATAAATTAGAATAAAGTGGCTGAAACTTAGTGGCATCAACGACAATGTACTCGATCCTGATCAGTCAGTCAGTCAACAACATAGAAGTTCGTACGTACGTACATCAGTCCAAGTTGATACACCAGAGTAGCACACAAATGCAATTGTCACTTCAAATCCCATAGTATTAGAGGTAGTAGAAGTATTAGCTGTAATCGGAGATTTTAGGGTTCGACCATATTATTGAAGAAGTAGAATCTAGTGAAACTTTAAAAGAAAAAGGTGATGAGTAACATAGGTCAGGATTTTAGAGAACACAAACAGTGGATGCATCTGCGCCATTGTAAACGGTTTTAAACCATGTCATTCAAGGTCTCTAACCCTAGCTTTATTCTAACCTATTCCTACATCGCAAAGGATAGCTCGACGAGGCAGTCGGTGGATAGGCATACGCAACACGTACCTACCACCTCAACTGATGAAGTTTCATTACTCCGTCTATTGATCAGTCACCCTTACCTAGGACATGTCTCCTAACGATAGCAATGCTTACTTGGTTGTCCCAGGATACATGAACAATGTTTTGATCCTGAAATTTCATTGAGAGTCGATTAAATGGATCCTGGGCAACTAAAAGAGTAAACACCTTCAATCACAAATCGTTTGCGTAAATGTTTTAACCTATCCATAACCCAAAGTATATTTTTACTGAGCACTGCCTTGCGATAGTTGCCAAGTTTTAAAACTTGGTCGGTACGTCAGGCTTTCAGCCGCGTGGGTGTCGGGAAATTCTTGGCCTTCTGTAATATAACACAGACATCCAGCCAGATCCAAAAAGACAGTGAGCTGTGAGAAAAGTTGTAGGAAACCGCGACCAAACAGACTTTGGGTATCTCCAAACTGTCACAACGAGACCAATTAGGTCGGACCTATTCTTTTAACTACATATGGGAAATAGAGGTGACTTAATCATCTTCGCATCTGAATTTAAGAGGGCTCAAAAACGTCCAAAAGCCCATTATCAACCAGAGGCTTGTTTAATTGCTAGCAACCATAAATCCTTGCGTCAGCACGTGACTGAGGTCCCACTGGTCGGCAAATTCTAATGAAATTTCGACCAACTGAAAGACAACCTAACAAACCGTTCAACCTCCCGTTTTCGCCTAACTTAACCATTGATAAGAGCACAACTCCTGTACTTTATGTCCAACGAACAGCAGTTAGACTTCTTCATCAATTAGTTAACCAGCTGAGCTAGAGAAATCACCAGAATCTGAGGCCAGTGGAATCAAACGAGCATTAAGCTTTACGTAACAGCAGTCAATCAAAATACTGTTTATATAAACTTACAAAAAGCAGAGCCGTCGTATGAGTCAAAGAACTGGATCTTGAAAAAATCCTTTGTATCATCCGTTGTTGAAACCCTGGAAACAGAGATATCTCTGAATACAAAGGTCAGGCTAAACTGATAGAATTACGTCTCAACAAATTCACCAGACTTTAAAATACCCTTACATATCGAAAGCGAGTACTTGGAGCGTGCTGTAGATAACACTAAGTATCTGGTGATAAGATCTCCAGGACTCTAGATCTTACCTTTGAAACGCAGTCCTCTTGTTGATTTATTTACGATCAACACCTTGCATGTATTGTAAGTACCCTCAGGAGAACAATGAAAAAATATGTTTGATGGCTTAACAAGGACTTCCTTGCTTGAATCCAGCGGCATTACTTGGTTGACATATAATAACTCGACAAAACCCCATCACATCCTCACTTGAATGTTCGCCGTAGCGAAGTAGTTCATATTAAAAACATGAATGTTCAAGCATCTTTTGAATCATTAGGTCAGAAGGCCGGCTGACTTAAATTACCCCCTGAAGTATATTTTCTACTACAGGTCAAGACTTTCCTTGAAATCGTTTACCGAGACTGCTTGTTACATTTGTTCAGGAAGAGGTATTCGATCGTAGACTTCTGGATCGGTAAAACGAAGTTCCAATCAGTGTTAGTCTAATCGCAGTCTTTGACCCCTTTTCATCTGGTCTAGGAGATCAGAAAGCTTGAAACAAACAGGCAGTAATACCACTATTCTAAACATAATTTCATCATGATGTCATCTCGCGTTCTGTGCCCGACTGTAGCTGCTAAAATGAGGTGCTGGTTAGGCTTACGATGAGACTAAAAGCAGCTACTCAAGATCTCAGGACGAAGCCGTACTGCTGAATGTAGAGGGGTGAGACAGCAGTAGGATGTTTCCCTCGGACAAACAGCATCTGCAGCGATGCTGCATTCTCACTAGGAACGAAGGAGTTAGAAAAGGTCGACCCTAAATATGCCACACCCAACTTTACCTCACGGATTTTCGTCTCCGGTGGTAAGGCTTTTTAAACAAGAACGGAGCTAACACTTTAAAAGATTCTCATAAAAAGGCTATGCGTGGCCGGCCTCAGTTGTCCTTTGGGCTCTGCGTTCACGCTTCCAGGTCTCTAGGACCAACACGTATCTACTTTCCTTCTCAGGTTCCTCATCAAACACCCTTCCACGGTGTGCGCAGCCATGAAAAGACATCCGACATCATGTCCGTACCAGCACACGTGACCGAATTGGTCACAATCAAATCCTTCCTACACCCTCTAACATCTCTCTTATCTCCACGACTCACCCTTCTCACATCCGTTCATCACCCTGCACTGCTAATGCAAACGATCCGAGTTCACGAAACGTTATTACTGGTCTCCTGGAGCCTCGTTGTAAACTGCGGATTGGACCTTTTATTGTACTGGCATTGTGTCGAATAGAGCACCAGGCTTCTTTAGCAAGGACCCTGGAATCCCGTGCCATTTATTTATTCTGTGTATCCGAAACGCGCATACAGGATGAGAGTAAAATCAATATTTTGATTTCTCCTTGTTAAAATGAAGAAGTAACTTGATTTACTCTTCGTGCAACCGGTAGCCCTGATGCTGCTTCCCGGGGTCTCGCTGGTGACCCCCAAAGTCGTCTCAACGCTGGACCCACTTGGATCACATCACCACCAGCCACCAATGGAGGTTCTAATGGAGATCTGTCGCTCATTCTGTGGCACATGTTTAGATTCAGATCATACTCTGGTGCGAGCACGTATTCGTTTGTGACTTACCGGACGTAGGAGAGACTCTGAAATGAAACCTCTTAGGGTTCTACCTAATGATAGCATATCTAAGAATATATTTCAAGAACAACTAGAAAAACACTTAACCGACCTTGTGAGTGATTCCCATCCGGAGGTAGCTTAGAATGATATCCGAAAAGCTGTGTAAATAGCAGCTATATCTGCTGGTAAGGTAAACCATAAGGCTAGTAAGAAGCCGCTGATCTCAGTAACATCTACCGAGCTGATGGATGCTCGAAAACTTATCCCACCTGGCTTTGAACATGATGAAGAGCAAAATCAGCTTAGGCGCAGTCTGATAAAAAGCTTACGCAACGACCGAGAACCGTGATGGGTAGCGAACGCGAAAGAGATGGAAAGGTAGAGGAAATAGTCAGTGGGCAGAACACTCCAGGGATCAGTTCTACTGGCCTTCAAACACGCTTTGATTGCCCACCATCTCCAGTTATCCTGAATGGTAAACCGAGATAAGTCCTGTGACTGTTTATGAAGTCGAAGAAGCTATAGTAAATCTGAAGCTAGGTAGAGCAGCAGGTCCCGATAGACTGACTCCTGTGATATTTAAGGATGGTGGTCCAGTTTTAGCAGTTAGAATAACTGAGATCTTAGGTAGAATCTCAGAACTAAGCGTAGTCTTAATCAATGATTGTGCCAGTTCATAAGAAATTACAAAGGTCTTCTTGTGACAATCACAGAGGACTAAGTCTAACTAATATACTATCTAAAATATTGGCCTCAATAATACTCCGACGCTTAACGAAAGGTCGTGAAGAACATACTAGGGAAGACCGGGCTGGTTTCAGAACCTGATGTAGCTGTATAGACCACATTTTCACACTACGTCATGTCCTAGAACGCAGACACACGTTCAGACTCCCCACAATAGTAGCATTCATCGACATATAAGCCGCATCCGACCCAGTTGATCGTGAGCTTCTGTGGCAGCATCTGTCGCTGGAAGGTGTACCAAATTAGCTCTCTACTCAAACACTATAGGCCGAGTGAGAGCCTATGGCTAACTCGCATCGAGATTCTTTAAGCCAAGTGGTGTCCGTCAGGGATGTCCACTCTCCACATTCTTGTTTGACTTTGTCACAGGCATGCTGCTAGAGTTAACATTATCATCGTCTGACTCTCCAGGAGTAAACATCTTACCAGGAGCAACGCTTACCGACCTAGAATATGCCGATGACATAGTCCTATTTGGTGAAGACGCTGACAAAATTCAGGATCTTCTGATCAGCCCAGGCAACAATGCAAGCATGTTCGGGCTGCCGTTCTCCCCCTCGAAATTCAAAATGCTACTTCACGATTGGGTTGCATTGGTACCTGAACTAGTGATAGGAAGTGAAGTAGTTGAGCGTGTCCACTGCTTCACTTATCTCGGAGTCTCATCAGTTCTGACTGAGGAAATATCAGCACGGATACAGAAGGCTCGATGGGCTTTTCGAATTTGCGTCACTTATGGCGTAGACAAGATATCCGTTTGCTGACTAAAGTACGAGTGTACTGCGCAGTAGTTCGCTCCGTGCAACTTTATGGCTGTGAAACATGGCCTGTGAGAGTAGAAGACTTTCTTAAGTTAATTGTTTTCGATCATAAGTGCCTCCGGAGCATTGCTCGAGTGTCGTGGGACAACCGAGTAGACAATGCTGTCGTTAGGAAAGGGGTCCTGGGTAAGGGTGGCAGATCAATAGATGAAGTAATGAATCTTCATCAGTTGATGTGGTTGGGACATGTGTTACGAATGCCTAACCACCGACTACCTCGACGAGCTATGTTTTGAAGTGTGGGAGTAGGTCGGAAGAATTCTAGGGGTGGCCAAACCAAAACATAGCAGAACTCCATGAAATCACTGAAAAGTGGACTAAGACATGTTGGTAGATGTAGGCTACTTGGTTGGGGTCCGCTAGACGATAGCCACCGGTGGTTATAGACCTTGAATGACATGGCTCAAAATTGTTTGCAGTGGCGCAGGTACACTCATTCTTTGTGTTCCGTCAAATCGTAACCTTCTGAATTCATCATCACTTTATCTTTTACTTTTTAAGTTTATTTCACCACAACCTACTCGTCGACGCAAGCGAATCGTTATACATAAAAACCGAATGACACCTAAGGCAAAAGATACGCTTAACGTAGGCTTACACAAACCCGTGCGACAGAATTCATTGAAGCAGACCTGTCAGTACCGATCATTGGTATATACTTGCAACATCACCACAACCTACTCGTCGACTCAAGCGAATCGTTGTACTTAATTACGTTTTTAGAACGTCATTCCCTGGTAGTAGGTTATCTCCAGCCACAAATAAACACATAATCAACACGTTCTCTTAACCAATACTCAAATGGTGCTCCAAACCACAGTTACTGTGTGTAACTCTCAGTGCTGCATAGGACCAACCGTATTCCTCCATTCACGCGCACTACTTTCACTCCAAGAAATGCTGCTCAAACATCTCAGAGATTTGTTGATGACGTCCTCAGAGTTCCCACCTTCGTGCATGCCTGTGTTAATGAAATTCGAATAGCGATTCCGTACAGAAAACCTCATCTGCAGCATTCGAATCTTGGTTTCCAAAGGAATCAAGAACGCAACGCTACTTTAACATAAAGAAATATCCTATTGGAATCGACTTCTTCGTCCTCAGTCAAATAATTAAGCAGGTTCAACAAATCCATAGGTTTCTACCGACGATCCACACCAAATCGAACGTGTCTCGGGCGACCGTTAATCCACTAATCACATGGAACTGAGCAATTCAATAATTTGGACGACTGCTTGGAAATCATTTTCCACAACGAAGGTATACATCGCTAAGTCAACTATGTTGTCACGCCTCGACACCGAAGCACCCATTAGTGTCTCAATAGAAGCTGTAGATTTATTTCGACAGTGGCCGTCCCAATTGGTTTCAATAGAGGTACTCCTGTACGCTTTTCCTAGTCCCGGGTCCCAACCAATTCAAAAAGGACAAAATTCTAGGAAAAAACGTCTGGAAATTGTACTTCTTCCAGGGTTAAGTTACTCCGCAGAGTATCCGACACAATAACCAATAAGTGACGCTAAGTCCAGCAGCCACTGCGTCCGTCCAAAAATGTGGCGGTAGCCATATTATATCAAATTTAAACAACATATGTACAGATCAGAAGCAAACACAAAAACTTCAATATAAGTACAAAATATAGAAAGAATAACAATATACAATAATAAAATCTCAAATTGGAATCAAATAAAATACCAAAAATGTCAACAGAAAAAGTCCATCATGTCATAGCAAAAATATGTAAACATGGAGGGATTTTCCAAAACACAAAAAATTCAAAAAGGATTCTACACCGGCCCGCAAAATCCCTCCATGCAAAAACAGCAAGCGTTAATGACACTTTATTTAGGGTTCCCAGTTATCCCCTAATCCACACCGGAATAACGTGTAGGACTTACAGCAGTACGCCTACACGCCATCCAACATGGATATGACCTATCGTGTTGACTAGGTACCTATACTTTCCCATCAGGCCCTTGATTCCCCTATCTATCGTGGAATGACCTAACGGTAGTATAAACCTTA